TTCAAACTAGGCTGCTTATGTTGAAGTGTTTGGGATGTGGCTTTTAATGATGAGACCTTTTTTGTAATCAGGCTCTCAAAAAGTATATAAAAATTTGGATATAGATTTATCGGCCAACATATCGGTTATCGGCTTTCAAAAATAAAGAATAATCGGTTATCGGTATCGGCCAAAATTTTCATATCGGTGCATCCCTAGCCAGAAGACTTTGATAAAAGGCTTGTAAAATACAAACTGAAGACTTAAGGCGAAAATCTGCTTGGACATTACTGCTCGCACACAAACATTTTGATTATCATAACATAATATTGTGTAATATATATTGTGTCACAATATTTCGCAATACAAAACTGCAAAAGAGCGACAATATGTATTGTGGATAGTTCAACCAAAATGAAAGTTTAGACATTTAATTTAGGATTGTATTTAAACAAAAACACAGATAAATGCACATACATCAAACATGTTTAACCCATTGAGCTTTCAATTTTCAATAGCCGTTAATAACTTTATTAGTGAATATTGTAAAAAAATACTAAAGCCTGACCGATATATCGGTTTGCCGATATTATCGGCCGATATGAGTCTGTCACCGATATATCGGTATCGGCGAATATGCCGACGATATGAAATATTTTTTTACAGAACATGTGGAATATGGAAAACCATTGAAACTTTGAATGGCCATATCTCCGTAATGGCGCGGCGAATCCGCACCAAATTCGGGATCCCTTCAGCTCGAGGAATCCTCTCGAACGTGAATCGAGTGTACGTCTAGAGGCCCTCTTTCGAATGAGACCACCCCCGCGTCGATAGCCCCCGGGGTTCGGGAATTACGGGTGGTTAAATTTGCGGTCCGGCGCCGACCGATTTAACGATCCCGGGGGGCTACTGACGCGCGGAGGGGGGCGTTCGAGAGGGCTCCTCGAGCTGAAGGGATCCCCCAAATTTGGTGGAGATCCACCAGCGTGTTCGCGAGATAGTGACACCTGTCAACACTTTCACTTCAGTAAGGAGGTTTCTTGTTCAGGCAGCAGTTAAGTGTTGTCTTATTCGACCGTAAGTGCCCTGCGAAGTGGACTTCACATGAAATTCTGCCATGATTCCAGTTCCAAGGGAACGTTACATTCAAAGGGTATTCAAGTGCGCGAGATGTGAATTTATATTGTATTTATTTACAGAGGTAGGGGACAGCAGGGCACAAAGTAACACTTTTTGACTTTCTCAGTTTGTGTAAATCCACATGGGGTTCAGAATATATATATATTTTTTATCCACAGTAGTTTTACACTTGTCTAGTACAAATATGTCACTTTGTTTCATAATTAGTTAATAAGTTTCTTTATTTACTCTCAAAAAAATGGAAGTGAAATGTGACAACATGCCCCGTAGGTGGAACACATTGTAACATCTGAGGGGCACGTTGTAACTTGACCATATGGACAGCTTAAAATCTTATCTGATCGAATGAAAAAAAATATACAAGACAAACTAAAATATTTTGTTAATAAATATTTTTTTTTTAAA